GCGCTTGCCTACTCAGAGGTCAGAGGACAGCTTGGGGAAGTTGTCCATGTGGGTTCTGGGATTCGAACTCAGATCTCTGTCAGGCAGCAAGTGCCTTTTCTGCCAAGTCATCTTGTCAGCTCCATTTTGGGTAGTTTTTATTCCTATGTCTCCAAATTCTCTGATCTTTTCCTCTGAAATTTCTAACCTCCTGTTAATTGAGTCTGGTTTGCTTTTCCTCAGATATTGTATTTTCATCTTATACAATTTCAGAAGTTTTTAAGAAAGTGCCTACTATGTCTCTATACCACATTTGAAATACATTGCGTGCTATTCTGCACAGATGTTCATCCCTTTCTTGAAAGTCTGACACCTGTGTCAGTTCTAGATTGACCCCCAGTGCTCTGTGTCTCTCTTCAGTCTTTGGTAATGTATTCAGCATTTTGAGCTTTAACTTGCTGGGATCTGAGTGGTTTTTATCATTATTATTATTATTCCTGAGAATATTTTTGAATTTTGTTCTGGGATACAGTTCTGTTAAGCTGCATCCATCAGCATTTCCTCTAAGGCTAATTATTTCCCACTTCTGAGCCAAGATGATTCTGGAGCTTTGTGGGCTACTTGATGGGAGCCGGCATTAGTCCTGCCCTATAAGCAGTGGTCCTGACCTGTGACCTCTGGTCCAGCCCCCCCCCCAACATGCTCATATGGTTCTTTCCCAACCTCAAATAGTTTATACACAAATGCACACACATACACACACATGCACACACATGCACACAAATGCACACACATACACACACATACACACTTGCACACACATACACACACATGCACACACATGCACACACATACACACACACATACAAACACATGCACACACATGCACACACACATACACACACATACACACACATGCACACACATACACACACACACATACAAACACATACATACACACATGCACACATATACACACTTACACACACAGAGACTGAGAGAGAGAGAGAGAGAGAGAGAGAGAGAGAGAGAGATGGTTCCTTGGTTCCTTTCTGAATGATCTGAGAGCCATCTATGCCTGCCCTGAGTTCTCTCTGTACAGCTCTCTTCTGAATGGTCCTCTGCTCTGGCCACCTTGGTTTCTCCAGTCCCTACATTCCATATATTTAGCTTCAAAACTACTGGGTCCTCTCTCATGTATTTTCTCTCTGATACAACCTGGGATCTCCCCCAAGGCATCACACTGAGGTGCTTATTGTATTTGTTCATCCTCTTTCATGGGTTAATGACTATTCACTGTTACTACTGGCCAACGTGTGTGTGTGTGTGTGTGTGTGTGTGTGTGTGTGTGTGTGTGTTTGTATGTGTGTGTGAATTGTTTCAGTTGTCAGTCATTTTAGGTTAAGATGTAAAACAGGCCCCTGTTATTCCATCTTTGCTGGAAGCAGAAGTCTTTAGACAGAGTTTTCAGTAGCTTTCACATCAGTTCAGAGAATGACTTGATAACAGGATCCTCTAGTTATTGAATGCCTTTGTGTGCTAGGCAGGGCGCTCATTCAGATATTATGTCAACGGAGCAGCTATCGTGTGCAGTCCTAGGCACTGGAAATGCATCACCACCCCAGAGTTTAAGATTGACACCTGTGCTGGTTAGGAATAAGAATGGCCCCCATAGGCCCATATATTTGAGTGCCTCCACCCCAGGGAGTGAAACCCTTTGAAAGGGAAAGGTTCGGAAGCATGGCCTTGTTGGAAGAATGTGTCACTGGGGAGTGGGCTTTAAGTTTTCAAAAACCCAACCCAATGTCATCCTCTCTCAGCCTTTGCACCAGGATGTAGCTCTCAGTTCCTACTCTAGCCCCTGCCTGCCTACAGTCATGCTCCCCACCATGATGGTAATGGACTATGTCTCTGAAACTGCAAGGGGTCCCTACTTAAATGCTTTCTTTTATAAGAGTTTCCTTGGTTATGGTGTCTCTTTACAGCAATAGAACAGTGACAAAAGCAACATCCTTAACGATGATTGTATTTCGGGGGGAGGGGGGAGAATAAGCCACATAGCACAATTAAGGTTAATTGCTACTAGAGAAACCCACAAAGTAAGATAAAGATGGACAGAACGCTAATTCTGGACAGAGAAGGTATGGCAATGGTTTTAAAGAAGATGGTCAAGGAAGCCTGTCCGATAAAGGTCAGACACTTGCACAATGACTTGAAGGAAGGGAGTATGTGAGCCACATGGGTATCTGGAGGAGAGGTATTTAGAGTAGGAAGCCAACACAGAGCATGTCAGGTGCTTTTAAAGCATCCATGGGGAAGCCACAAGGGCAAACAGAAAGAGGAGGGAGCAACAATGACAAAGTCAAGACTGCCTGATGGAATGGGGTCTGCTTTCCTATCACAGGGAGGTAGACAAGATTTCTGATCACATGTATGGAATATATGGTGTGTGTGTATGGGTGTGTGTGTGTGTGTGTGTGTGTGTGTGTGTGTGTACATGTATGTGTGGCCATGTGAGGTGTGGATGTGTGTGTGTGCATAGCCATGTGTGGTGTGCATGTGTGTGCATTCGTGGCTGTGTATGCTAGTCTCTGCATGGAGAAAAGGTGCATTGGTAAAGAAGAACTGAAAGGACCAGGTCTTTAAATAATGAAGTTGTCTGTCTTTCCAAGAGAGAAGGCCGACTAAGCAGATCTAGATGTATTTCCACGACGCACTATGCAAACAGTACAACTTCAGGTGTTTTCTGAGGATTCAGGGAAGTGGCCATCTTTCTCACCCCCATTTTACAGGCAACAGACAGAGTGGTTGAGTAATTGTGCAGACGCACACAGCCACTAAAGGTCAGAACCAAGGTTTGAACCTACGTGTATCTCTTGCACCAAAGCTAAATTCTAACTACACCACCACACTTTCTGCCTCATGGTTACAGTTAGAGGGACAGCCTGAGCTAAATTTCTTGAAATCCAAGGAAAGTACCTCTTGGAAATGTGAGCTATGTGGCCATGTAGGGTGTTTTGTTTCCTTTTAGACTCATCACATGGCCTCTGTGTTGATCCATAGCCAATTGCTGCTTAGTCCTGATCACTCCAGTTAGCCTTTGTTGAACCAGGAGTCTGAGGTGCCTCGGGAATCCAATATCCAATATCACCACAGGGTTCCCTGCCATTTGTCTTCTTTTGCCTTAGCAGTCACATATGAATTAGAAGCATCTAATAGTCATTGGCAAAAGGGTAAATTGCAAGTGATTTTAATACTTTCTGTCAAAACATATATAATGAATATATTACATTTATGATCTGTGAAGGTCTATTAGAGATCTATACTTTTGTTTGTTGTGGTTTTTTTGTTTTGTTTTGTTTTGAAACAAAGTCTTGCTATGTAGTTCAGGTTAGCCTCGAACTTACAACCCTCCTCCCTCTGCCTACTAAATGTAGGAATTACATGCACATGTCACTACCTCCAGCTACTGCTGTTTTTAAGCCATCTTATTTGCATATAAACTTATAAACTCTTGAGGACTCTTCTGAAGAGGCTCACCCTCCTCCATGTCCAAGTCCAGGAAAAGCTGGTGGTGCTAGGTACCAAACATAAAGTAAGCCTTTATCTTTAGGGTTTCTTTGTCACGTGGCTATCAGGTGAGCCTAGGAAGTAGAAGAACACAAGGGCTAATTTGTAAAGCTTGTCCCTGTGTCACATAAGGTAACCTTTTCCTCGAAAGCCTTCCCTGGTATGTTCAGATGGCTCACCAGGCTGTCTCTGTAACAGAAAGGCTGGAGCACAGCACAGGGCCCGACACACAGTATACAGTAGGCACTCAGTAAGTGTGAGTTGAAAGAAAAAAAAAATTGAGTGACCAACTGGCCCTTGGCCTCCTTGGCACCATTTATGTCTATGAAATTGTATGAAAAGAAGTTTTGGACTGACCAGGGTTAAGTCTCAGTTTTTTGCACTCAAACATGATGTTGTCTCCGGGAAGAAATGAAAACCCCACCCAAATAGGCAAATACAATTGGCCAGGAATGGTATGATCACTCAGTTCATCTGTAAAGAATCGAAGTAAAAAATAGCTGCAGAATTTTACTTTTAAAATATAGTGCTTCAGATCACATATTTGGTGTGTGTGGGAGAAACGTCCTTGAAAATATTTATTATAGATTTATTATAGCTGGGCTGTGGTGGTGCACACCTTTGATCCCAACTCTCAGGAGGCAGAGGCAGTCAGATCTCTGTAAGTTCGAGGCCAGCCTGGTCTACAGAGTGAGTTCCAGGGCAGCCAGAGCTGTTACATAGAGAAACCTTGTCTCTAAAACAGAACAAAATTTTGTAATAAAACGTTCATCATCACAGCTATCATCTGTGAGCTCCTGGTTGGCGTCGTAAGTGTTGCTAGAGTCTTCCAGTGCATGCTATTAACCATTGTAATTAATATGCAGTTTAACACCTGAGCCTCTTTTTGGGATACTGTCAGTAGGGAGGAATTCTAAAGTGTGCTTAAAGGCCTGAGAACCTCCACATGGAGGCCAACTGTTCTTTCCTTCTGACTTGCCATGTTGTTCATTTTGTCAATAAGAAATGTGGCTGACGTGGCAGGCAAGAGGGGGACACACAGTAGATTTCACATGACTTGTTTTTAAAAATTCATATTCCTTTATAAATTTGTATTCCGGTCGGATGGAGAATGTTTCAGTTTCCGTCTTCCCCTCATTGTTGGGAAGGGTCAGGGTTCATTCTAACAACTGAGGTAATGGTCGACTTTATCTACAAAAACCTCTAAAACCTAGCAAAAACTCAACTCTCCTGTTTCACTAGAGAATTCGTCCTCCTCTACATTTAAAGACAAAATGAAATACAGAAGACAGTTACATCCTAGGGTTTTTTTTATCATTATCTTTTGAAATAATTTGTATATACCTTTTAAATAATTCCATGTGCCACAAAAAATAATGTTAATAGCGAAAAATCAAAAGTTTAAAAAAAAATACCCTAAGTATAATTTTTAAAATCTTTTCCTCCTCAAGCGTTTTACGATGGGATAATGAGACAGATGTCTCTCAACTGGAAGGACATTTTGACATTGTTATGTGCGCTGACTGGTAAGTACATAAAAATCATAAAACTCCTGTTAGGGGGGAAAAAATAGCTTTGCTGGAGTAATTGGTCCGCGCTGCTTTGCTGACGGCTAAGCGAAGTCAACAAACGAAGCACAAAGCCACCTTAACCTCAACAAATTAATATTCATCTCCATGTGACAGTTAGGAGGTAGTCTTCTATCACACAGTAACTTCTACCACATTATTTCCCAAAGATTGATTTTCAGAAGCATTTCCATTTTCTGGAATTGCCTCTGTTTCATGCTTGACGTACCAGTAAATGGATGACTTAGGCAAATTGCAAATAATTATGGCCCGGAGAGGAACAGTCTGGAGAAAAGGGAGTTTATCAACACAAACAGCTCAATTAGCTTACTTCTTGGGAGAGATCTGATATAAGGGATATACATGTGTACACACGTACATACTCTTTGGCAAATAAACATATCTGTGAAATACCTTGGGGGAAATAGCCTTTCTTAAAGTGTGTTTGATGTCTAATGTTTTCAGCAGGCTCAGAGCTCACTCTTAGTTATACAGAACACCAAGATTGCACAATCACATTTTATTCTTATGCAAATAACATCCAAATCTGTCAGGTGTCTGATCTTTTTAAGTAAATTTACCCTAGACATTTTGTCTTCCACCTTAGCCCCCCTCTACTTATTTGTTAATGGGAGCCTGACCCTAGTTGCAGGATTCATATGCATAGACCTTCGAAATTATTCCAGCTAATTTTGTGTCTTTCTGCATTCAGCCTGAGTAGTTATTTCAGTGTGTGGAAACATGGGCCGTAGGCAAGTGTTCTCCCTGTCCAAGGTTAAATCTTACTTGGAGTTTCCCCACCATCATGATTGCATTAGATTTGAAAACAGCAAGTTCAGATTCCCATCTTCCATTCCACTGATGAGCTGGATCCTAACACCCAGTACCCAGGGTAGGCTTCAGCCAGAGGAAAGCAGATACGTTCTTCAGGAAGTAACTTTAGCACTATTTCTATACAAGTTCCAGTGGCCAACCTTCCCACCAAGTCAATGGGATTGGTTAGGTTTAGGGTTTTCATTTTGTTTCAGTTTTGAGACAGGGTTTCTCTGTGTAGCCCTGGCTGTCCTGAAACTCATTCTGTAGACCAGGCTGGCCTTGAACTCAGAGATCTACCTGCCTCTGTCTCCTGAGTGCTGGGATCAAAGGCATACACCGCCACCACCCAGCTGTTTTTTTGTTTTTTGTTTTTGTTTTTCAAATTCTCCCTCCTCCTCCTACTACTAGTAGTAGTATTATTTTCTTGGACTTTCCAGTAAACAGTAAGTATTTTGTTCTACTTTTAGCAAAGTGTTTCCAGTTTTCCAGGGTCATTTTGGTCTCCTTGCTCTAATTGCTAAACACTTTTTTCCCCCAAATACAAAAGAAGCCCTGATCTCTGACTGATCAGTGACAACATGCCTCCATGCTACACCCCCCCCCAAAAAAAAAAAAAAAAAAAAAAAAGGAGCTCAAACCAACCCACGTGGTTTACCAAGTAATTTAGCAAATGCCCTTCCTCACCGAGCATGGGAAAGGACCTCCAGGTTTTGCTGTACAGATGAAGATAATGCAGCCAGGATTAGATGAGATTAACATGAGTCAGACCAGAGAGCGGCAGCAAGATGACGACCAGGGGCAGTGTCTTCCCGAAGGTTCAGATGAGGGTCAGACCCGATGTGCTCTGATGATGTGGGAAAGGCAGGAATGGCCAAGAGATTTACTGTTAAATTGTCCTTCACGCAAATACCAGAATGGCCTGGCTTTGTCATACTTGTGTCATGGACACTGACACCATGCCATCTTATTTGTACCAAAGGAACTAGCAGAGGAAGTAAGAGTTAAGCTCTTTCTGAATAATGTTCTCAGGTTAAAAAATAGCTGCACAACATAGTCTCCCCCCTTCCCCAACCTAACTGACAACAGGGTCTTATAGAATTGATAAACATGCTGCATGTTCAGTTTAAGGCTTTCATTACAGATATATAACACAATGCAATCTTATACACACGCATCTGGTGGCTGTGTAAGAATTATTTATGGAGTCAAATGAACTAAATACCCGAGGCTTCATTTTATAAATGGCTTTTCTACGCATGAATCGATGGTTAAGGTTTTTCTCCCCCTGGTGTTATAAGTGCCCGAATGTCAGCCTGTCTGTAATTTCCCATTTGTAAATGTAAAACATTAAGCTACTCTTTACAGTGACGCTGATATTATTTCCAAAAGAAATGCTTTGGTAATGGTCTCTCTTCATATGCACAGAGATGGCTAAGCCGCTTAGAAACTTCCAGAGTAGAGTGATGTGTAATATCCGTGCTGTACATCTGGCAGTGAAGCGTGGGGTTCCACATATTCCCTACATCCAGTTGGTTTGGTGTTGCTCCATGGGAGTGAAAAGTGTTGCGTAGGAGTGAAAGGAAGCTGCCCGTAGATGCTGCCTCCACGATGAAACCCAAAATATTCGATGCCAGAAAGAAGTGCCACACTTCAATAGATCACGTTGTATCTTGTACCACCCTTTATCATTGTCAGTCAGTGAGAGCTGGAGGGGGCCATATGAAGCATGAGGTGAAGTTTGAATATTAGGCACATGGATTAAATCCTTACTAAAGCATTTCCAGCAAGGGTGGCATTGTCTGATTTGTTGAATAGCTATCCCGTGGTACTTCTTGATCTCATTTACATGAAAACAAGCTCCATTCATTCACCTATCCCAAACCCACACTTTGGTTCAAGTAAAATGCACATGATTATGGTGAGTGGTGATATGTTTATGTTCTTAAATCATTCATATATTCCTATATTTACATTCAAATGTTCATAAACCTGGGGGAGGGGAAGAATAACTCATTTCCCAGAAGAGACAGTCCCTTACCCCAGATCCAAATTTAGTCGCTCAACTAGATTATAAAATAAAGAGGCAAACTGTGAAAGCTAGTTATTATTTCACCGTTCAGCATTTTTGACAATGAAAAATAGTTTCATGGTTCAATAGTTCCTAAATAACTTGTAAAATATCAACTTTGAAATAAATAGAAAGAAACATGGAGGTACAGTCACACCTATTAAAAAGGGGGGAGGGCTGTTGACAAACATCAAAATATTAGAATATTTAACCACAGGGGTAGGGGGAAAAAACCCTGCCCATTAAATTCTTCCATTGATTTTTTTCAGTGTTGAGTTTAATAAAAGCATTCCTTTCTGCAGGAATGCAGTACGTACGGCCCATCCTTGATGTGTTAAGAAGAGCAAGCCTTGCTAATTCTTAGCCTGCCTTTCCAGACTCTAGTTCAATCACACTCCTAATCGGAGAGTCTGGAAGTAGCTTCCCATTTATCTCTACCATTTGATGGTTCTCCAGTTTATTGTAGTTTTGCAAATATAGAAATGACGTTGTGCATTTGAGTTCTCACAAGGCTTAGGAAAAAAAAAATGTCTGAAATGCTACCCACTGCCTGATCCATGGAACTGGATTCATAGGACAGCCAGCCCATCTGTGAGTCAGAAACTGAGGGCTTGGGAGAGGAACAGAAGCAAGTACACAGGCCTGTTACCCTACCTTCACAGGCCACCTTGCTTGTTCCTGCAGCATCTTTGCACTGACTGCATACTATAGATTGTTCCCTTTTCCCAATTCGTTTTACTTTCTTCTAAATGATGGGAAAAAGCTGTTTGGCTTTTAAGTTGTTTTTGTGAAAAAAGTTTTTTTCCTCCCTCAAAATGGAAATGCTGTGGGCTCTGAAAGTTCCTTGTTTTCCGGCTACTGTGAGATGGCCAGCCTAATCACTACTCACAATCCCTGGCCCCAGAAAAGGTCTTTAGCCCCAGTGTAATCAGCCCTTTCACTTCAGGTGGGAAGATGTCCTCTGTGAAAATCCCCGAAGAGCCCAGAATTGCACAACTGAAGGGGCAAAAGCCAAGAGAGGTTAGAATGGGGCCTCGCTGGGCACTACCTCCAAAATAGGTTCATGAATGCAGAGAGAGACTGCCCCTCTGTTGAAAGTGAGATCTGAAACAGCCAACCTCACCATCAAGACTGCATCGGTGTCTTCCTTCCGGTGCATAGTGACAAGGAAGAAGCATCTCCTATGCTCTATATGAATGAATGGATTTCACTAGAAGGAGAGTGATACAGGCTCCCAGCTCTGCAGACAGAGGATTCTGAGGATGTCATGAGGATTCAGCACTAACCTTTGTCAGAAAATCTGACTCAGATCAGTGGAACAAAGTGATCATTGCTGCCATAGGCAGTGATCTGGAGGAAGGAGTCCATGTGCGGCAGAGTGTGTGCTTTAATGGCCAAACTGGACTGTCAAGGTATTTTGATCCGTAACTAAAGGGAGAGTTGAAAGGTATCTCCATCCCCATCACTGACCCACTCAGCCTTTTTAAATAGACCCACTTAAGCTGCTGCTGTTCTCTGAGCCATTAGGACTTATTTAAAGGGGTGAATTTTCGGGAGATTACATATCACTCCCACTAAAGCACATTGAAATTGCTCATATGACGACGTAGCCTACAAAGCGTTATGAATTCTGCATGGAAGCTAAGTAGAAAAGTGAGCTTGCTTGGAATAAAGATCTTTTTAGAGGACTACAAGAATTACTTTTGGGAAATTTGATTTGGAACGATGGGGTAGATGCCATTACCTTCGAAATGACTGTGTTTGGAATGTGTTCCGGGTGTTAAGCTGCACTTTACAGTTCTCTGTGATGTTAACCTCTTTGTCACCATTACGAAGGCACAGTGGAAAAGAGTGCTTTGTAAGGGTGTGCTGGAGGTGCAGCCGGCAACATGCTGTTCATCGTTTCCTAAGAGTCTCACCAGCTCTTAGAACATGCAGAAATAAACCAAGAGGAGTCCTTTGCTTAGCTGCAGCTTATCCAACCAGACAGAGGTCTCTTGTGGGTCTACATGAACACCAGAGTCAATCTATCAACAATATCAAACCGCAGATACTGTCTAACCTCCCTAAAGAATAAGACTGGGTGTCATGAAAAAGCACAATTTGTAGAAGACTGTTCCAGCCCGATGTGTTCCTCATCAGTCTTTAATGATTCTGAATCACTGTTTAACTTGACCTTGTGGGACATCTTTGTAGCATTTAAATTAAACATATTCTTTGCTCTATGGTGTAAGGATGCAACTTTGTGAAAGATAATGCATTCCTAGGTTATCCTGGTTGCTAGGCACAAGTGAGGTTTATGCATAGTCAGGAGCTCAACAGAAGAGGACCCTTTCCAAGGGAGGAGATAGAGCTTTGTGCTTGCTTTGCATGTGTGAAGCCTTGGGTCCCACACCCAGCGATGTTGACTACTTCAGCATCAAGCCATCAGTCTCTCTTCCTCCTTCCTCCCCTCTGGCACTCTCTCCTTCCCTCAGACAGGGAAACCCAGACTGGTCTCAAACTCATGATAGTCCTTTAACCTCAGCCACCCAAGTGCTGAGATGACAAGAATACACCATCATGCCCAACTCATGCTCCATCTTCCCACAGTGAGACTCATCAAATTGTTGACACAGCCAACAACACTGGGCAAGGCCTGTGAGCACACTGTTTCCAGTCACTGAGATGCACACCAGATTTAAACTTCTTCCATTTCAAGGACCACGATGAGCTGCCTCGAGCAGTGAAGAAACAGAGTTCCATGTATGCATGCTCTGAGCCATGAAGCATAAATGAAAGTTTCTTAGGAGTGGAACTGGCCTGTTTAAAGCTTAGCCCCAATGTCTGTCACCCCTCATAGGTCATATATAGGATTGTGAATTAACATGTGTTAATTTGATGTCCACCACAGCCACATAGACGGGCCATTATTGACAAGAAAACTGAGGTCTTCTATATGCTGTGAGTTACCCAAGGTCACGTAGAAAGGTCAAAGCCAGAACTTTATTAGCCCTGAACCACAGACTCCCATGTCCTGTTATCAGAGGGCAGACAGCAGCCCTCTTACTGACAGCCAGTACTCATTGGTAGCCAAAAGGCATCCAAGACTGTGGCACAACTGTACACATTTCAAAGATCCCAATGTGGCCTTCAGAAAGAAGTGGCTCCCACCAATTGTGGTGACGCAGTCCAGAGGCTTTGTCTTGGTAGAGTGCTCCAGCCATGTTAGGAGGATCACATGGTATGTGACAGTGACCTCTACTCTTGTGCCTCTAGCACAGGGTGTTTCCACACCTCCCTACCACAACCCCGAGGGAAACCTTTGTTTGCTTTTCATACACACTCAGGTATCTCAGTGCAGTCTAAGGCTGTTATGAGGGGATGCCCAGAGTGGACAATCTCTAAAGGACAGAAATATATGGCTCAGAGCTTTACACTCTAGCGAATCCAAATCAAAGTGCTGGTAGGTTTGGGAGGGGATAAGAGCTTAATCTTTTTCTTGTAGTGTCTTGAATGTTGAGTCTTCTAGCAGAGAGGGACCCTGTATCTTCTATGGCAGAAGAACAAAGTGGCACCCACCCAGTCATATCACAGGTTAGTTAGGTCTGTGCAGCCCACAAATGTAGACGGTTGCATTCAAGCACAGAACTGCATAAGTTAACTTGCCACCAACTGCTAGGTGATCCCCAAACTTGAGTCTTGGATACATCTATTTAGATGAAGCTGTTACAGAGAGAGTGTGGTGCAAACAGGGTCAGAGTAACTCAACCATAAAGATGCCAAAACCAAAACAAAACCCAAAACCACCCATAGAGAAATACTCTGAAGACCCAAGGAGCAAAATGAGAAATCACAGTGGATAGGAAAGAATCAATGTGGAGGTCAAGGGAAGAAAACCCTTGAGTTACTATAGCCTCTCACACTGCCCAAGCTTTGCTTTGGAGGTTGTTGGCTCCTGGGACATTACTTGGGTCTTACCCTGGAACTTATGGAAATCACTGAGGTCCACCCTGCGTTACTCCTAAAATTGCCGCAGTGGTTTGGGTACATGGGGCTGGCCGTTTGCTTTCAGAGAGTAGCCTCACAGTGATCCTGATGGGCGGAGGGTCCAGGTCTACTGGAAACCAAGCTCTAACAAGAGAAAGTACCAAGTGATCCATCTCTACCAGGTGACACTCATGAAAAAAGCATCTTGGGACCTGTCCCTGTGACATTAACGAAGCAGAGTCAGGTATGAACCCTGACATCAACAGCTTGTTGTTCATTGGATAGTTCTGTTCCCAGTATCTCCTTTTTAAATTGCCCGCAGCAAGACCCCTGAATGGAAGGGAACAATCTTTCTCTGGTGTCATATAAACGTGTAATTAGCCTTATGCTGATCACCACTGGTATCATTAGGCTGGAAGCCCCGGTTTAATCTGGATTCTGTTCTCTCCTCAATGTCAGCCTGTTCCTGGACCAGTACAGAGCCAGCCTTGTTGATGCAATAAAGAGATTACTCCGGCCCACAGTAAGTATGTTTCTATTTTCTCCTGAATACTAGCTACTGAATAATTAGTCCGAGCACAAAGATGAGTAGAGTAATGGAATGGCAGGATTAATGTCATGTAATACTTTAAGATTTATTATGTCCAACTTCAATTGGGTCTTCTGATCTACTAGGTTCTTTCCTAATCATAACTAGGAAACTTCTTACCCTTGGCCTTCTGATAAGGAACACTGTGGGTAGTAAAATAAATGAAACCGCTTCAAAGATAGTGTGAGATTTTTTTATCAAAGAATTTCTGGAGTCTTTCCCTTTGATAACAATATCTTCATATTAAAGTAGAATTATGATATTGAAATTTTTCTGTTGACTTCTGTCATTTTAAATCCCTTCAATGGTAACCTTTGTCATTGGGTATTTATTTGTTGCAAAAGAATACTTTTTTCTTTTTATTTCTGTTTATATCAAAGAATAAAAGGACTTCCAGATGAATCTGTATATTAAAAGTTCTTTGCTTTAAAAGGAAGCCATTATTTACATATTATAAATATTAGGTCACAATGAAGCCAAGCATGGCATAAAATATTGTGCACATTTTTACATTTATATATCCATTTATGCCTGTGAGCAAATTACAGAGTTTGTATCCACTCTTATTTTTGTTGAGCTGTTATACTAGGCTAGGAGGTCCTGGAGCCTAAACGGAGAGTTAATATACATCTATTCAAAGTAAGAAAACGAGTTTAAAGCTCATGCATTAAAAAAAATCTTGTAAGTATATAAGACTCGTTGCTGTACCACAGGAATTTAAAATAGGCTAATGGTCTTAGTGTAATCGAAGATAAGAACTCACAGTTATCTGATATGACTGCTGTGTGTGTGTATGTGTGTGTGTGTGTGTGTGTGTGTGTGTGTGTGTGTGTGTGTGTGTGTGTTTTCTGAAGTTTTGTTTCTGAAGTCTTTTATGAAAGACTTTAGCCTTGTGACCTCGGTAAGACTTACAGACTAATACCTTTCAATCTTCCTTTTATATCTTTCTCACACTGAAGGCTCCCAGAGCAATTTGATAATCATCCATTGCCTTACACTATTGCTTTTTATTTTGTTATCTCTCTGTAGTTCAGAAACTTTAAATAGGCCTCTCGGAGGAGTAACCGCAGCTTTGTAAGTGGCAATCAATTCAATTAAATTGGCCTTCTCGATTCTGGTTGTGAAGAGGGAAGTAGGTCTTGAGGCAAGGAAAGGGCATGTGCCAAGCTGCTGCTGACTGCTGCCACATGGAGGAGGCCGCCCAAGTTGAGGGCAAGCAGAAGGAATGCCGAGCCTCTCCTGAGCCTCTTCATCTACCCCGTTAGCCTTGGAGGATGCTTGCAGGCATCTGCAAGACCAGGATTCTCGGGGAGGGCACTGAGATGCTTGGATGCCGAGGCTCTATGAAAATGTCTCATACATAAACACAATGCTTTCAAGGACTCCCGGATCTCACACTGCACAAACAGTACTTCACTCATCACCAACACCCCCTTCAAAGCCTATTTGTGGCAAATACTCCATTTTGCAGCAGATTTGCATGATTTACAATAGGAAACTGCCCAAGCTATGAATAGACCTAAATGCAGATTGGACTGGAATCTCTTGAGACTCTCTGTACCGGCTGTTAAACCCTGAACCATGCTCTTCCCTGTCTGAAGTGTGGCTCTGCACAGCAGGGGGGCGCCCCCCCCCAGCCAGGACAGCAACCCACTAACTGACAGCCAGTTCTTAACCTTATGGCAGAGAAGGACAGGGCCAAACCCTGGAGTGGGTGACGTTTCCACATGCTACACACGGAGGCCAAACCCAGCCTGCAGCATTAGAAGTGGGAGCAGGGCGCCTTACTTAGGTTCCTCATAGGATTGCTGACACTCAAGACCACTGAGTATTCTAGTTTAAAGTCCAGGGGGCCTGCTATCAGAGAGGAAGTCTTAATAATGAATATGGACATACTGAAACCTCCACTCAGAATCTCAGATCTGTGGAGGCAGGTGGCTCACACCCTGGGCCTCCATCCCTTGGATCCTACAAGGTTCACATGGACTAGGCAATAAAGAATCCTGTTCACAACTTGTACTGGTGGACCTGAAGATTCCCATGTAGTAGTGGGGAATTCTCTATCTCTCATGGCTGGTTCTAATACTTCTAATACTTCCCCCACTGAGTGGACGGTTGTAGTTCAAGACTAAGTTCATATGCAATGACTACATTACAGTTAAAGCTAGGCGTAGGCTTCTTTTGAGCCTAGACAGTTCCTCCATGGTTCTGTGGCCCAGGTTATGAAGATACTACACATGTCACCAAGGAAATGACTTAGGTGCTGTGCTAGCGGATGCTGAGTGTCTGGTGGTTTTATGTAGGATTCTACAAGTTCTCAGCTTCTGAGCAAGTCACCAAATGCTTCATGTTTCCAAAAGGACCTTCGGGAAGAGAAAATATAATGGCTGGAAGGCATTTAAAAAACATCAGAGTCACTAGCCACCCAGATTGATAATCCTCACTTTAAAAAGGCAGCAAGGGGGCGTGGTGGCACATGCCTATAATCCCAGCATTCAGAAGTCTGAGGGAACACAATTATGAGTTCGAGGGCAGCCTGAACTCTACAGCAAGTTCAAGGCCTGGCTAGACTACATAATAGGACAGTGAGTCTCTGTAATGATGGCTGGCCTTTGCTATTGCTCTCCTAGCTTGTTGAGATTAATATAGGAGACAGTGGTCCTGTGAAGAAATGGCAGGCTGGCTGATGGTAGGCAGATCCAGTTCAGCACAAACAGTCTCTGAAGCCTCCTGATATAGCCCATTTGCCCCCAATGAGAGTAAAGTGCAAGTTCACCCATACTCGTATAACAGCTCCAGGACCCTAAGTCCTGCTTACCAGGGTAGACACAGTTAGGCTTTGGAAACAGAAAACATGGGATGGGCTCACATTTGGCGCTAGTGCTGCAGATTTCATCCTCTAGAAACCTCGGTTTCTCCCCAGTCTCCTCTGCAAAATGAGAGAATCAGGTCCAGTGAGGTATAGTGCGTGTGAACACCTGTCTCCTTTTGGAAGACTTAGAGACTTTCTGACTGTGGCAGGGACAGGGACTGGAGGCACTTTCCAAGCCCATTGAGACATGCTGGCAGGAAGGAAAGACTGTTTTCCTGATATGGAGGGACTTCAGGGACTTCTGTGAGTGACCATCTGCCCCTGCTGCACCTGTGGCCCCCAGTACAGCAGAACCTGAGGGGTGGCAGGGAGACCACCTGCTGAGTGAAGATGACACTTTTTATACACACAATTCCGCTTGGTGGGAAGAGAGCCAGGGCTATATCTGTGAGAGTTAAATAGTTGCAACCTGAATGGCTCAGCGGTTAGGCCTGGGAAGGAGCGAAGTCTATACTTTTGAGGTGTGTCTTTACTTGATTTCTAACTCAACCAAATCAGCTGGGGGTCAGAGGATCTAAAAACAGATAAAACAGACAAAGAGGAAGTCTTTGCCTGCTTTTCTGTTTTTATGATGGAGGAGTCATAAATGAGGGAAAATAGACAAGAGAGAGCCTGGCCTCCCAGGTGGGCCCCTGGCTCGTCCCAACAGCCATGTCACATCCTAAGGCTGACCCCAGGTCCTCTGCCAAATAGCCCCAGAGCCTGGAGAGTCACCACACCAGGCCCCAGATTCCATCAAGGAATAAAAAAAGGCCACCATCCAGCTACATACACAGTTAGCTTCTGTCAGAGTAATATGAAGAACTCTCTAGAAAGAGATATATTTAAAAAAAAACCTGCCTTGAACCACTCCCTCCCCCCAAAACAACCTGAAATCAGTAAATTTACTCATCCCAAGAAGCAACACCCCACACACACTTCTCCTTCCCCTAGTGATAAGTGGTTTCTCATTGCTAATGATTGATGGGGTGACTGCTCATGGCCATGTTCCCTAAAGTCTATGACAACAGCAATGTCCTATATCAGAAGACCCGAAAGCAATTTAAAATCTGGCCATAGCAGCCTGCAAGTCGAACAGCAATGACAAACAGCAAATGACATCTGCTAATATTCCTCTAAAGTAGCTGTGGGTCCCAGAGGGGAGCCTGGGGCTGCTAGGCAGCCGGAGCTTACGAAGGACTACAAGGAGGCAGGTCAGACGGCAGTGCAGACATCGCTCCAGCTGATTGTCACCACCTGCCAATTGTCCACAGCTCAGAATCACTGTGGCCAGTGAGATGGCTCAGCAGATAAAAGGGCCTGTCTCAAAAGCCTGCTGTCCTGAGTTCAATCCCCCGAAACCACCATGGAAAGAGCGACCCAGAAAGTTGTCTTCTAACCCCAATGTGTGCACTCCCATACATGTGCTGGAGTGCACACACAATAATAAGAATAGTAATAATGATTAAAAACAGTCCTTTGCATGCCACTGTGGAATTAATATAACCAGGCTCTAGCAGTCACAAGATCCTAGGAGCCCTGCCTATGTCCAGGGAGCCCTGTAGTTAGGAACCATCAGCCTCCATTTTAGAAGAGCGATTTCTTCTTATTGACTGACTTCCTCATCTTTTTGTTAAATCTAACACCTCTGTTTACATCAGTGCAAACTTTTTTTTTTTTTTTTGGCTTTTGCTTATCTCAGGGAAATTGCCATGTGTGAGTGGCTCCATGTGGTGACTGAAGCCATTTCACACTTGGGTTCCTGCCTGCTGGCCAGGTCCACAGCCCAGCAAATCACCACCAGTTCTTGGTGCAAAGCTGTTTGGCCATCCCTTGCTGACCTGCTGGTAGAAATGGGATGTGACAACAGAGAACTTCTAGAAGGCTTTAAAGCCCTCAGAACACAGGCCCAGCCCTGGGAAGTTCTTTCCTGTTTCAGTACCCAAGTTCATATGCAGTACTGTCTGCACTTCCTGGGGAGGCAAGATCTGAGGCAGGTGGACTCTGGGGCACCCAAGAATTGAAGATCTGTTTGTAGACATGTGCTACACCCACAGAGGTCAGTGCAAAATACAGCCTGGTG